CCCCTTCTCTGGGTTAGAGCTTTCTTTTCACCTATGTTGTTTCTCCCATCAGCAGTGGGTTTCCACCAGTGCTCTATGACTACAGTTTTATTGCCCTTGCCTCTGAAGATTAAGGCTTTGGTTCTATAGGGGAGATATATCTGAGTGGATTTCAGCAGTTACTTCTCTTCTCTCCCAGCCAGTACCACGGTGGAAGCTTTCTCAGGACTCTCCCCAATCTTCCTTGTGCAAGAGGGTGCAAGCCTCCCGGTGCTTGGAGCTACCAGGGGCTTCACACTCTCACATCAGCTCACACTTGGCCTTTAGCAGGTGTTATAAATGTTTTGTCAATTTCTAGCTATATCTCCATGCCAGCTTCACTAGCATCTGGTTCTATCTGTCGCAGGTATTCAAATGCTCAGTTTCTGTTTCTTCCTGTAAGTACTTTTTCTCTGTTGTCTCTACTGTCATCATTCTCTTCCCACCTGCTTGCTTTATTTATTTATTTAGAGAAAAATTTACAATGCAAAAAAGTATGAAAATAATATAAGAAATCTCTTTCTATATACTACCCAGAATTGATGGTTAACAGTTTATATTTTCTTCAAGTCTATTTTTTAATAAAAGGAAGAAAACTTTAAAAATAAAAGTCTCTTTTGTCTCCCATTATCAGTCTCATTCCCTACCCTGACACCAAACAGGGGTGTTTTTAAAAAAAACTTCTTTCACCCCTGGAGATCCTGCTTCTGTAGATCTGGCATACTGGTTGAGAATATATATGTTTTAAAGCTTCTCATAGGATTCTGATGCTATCTAATATCTGTCCACTGAACAAGGAGAAAGATGAGACTTTCCAAATCCAAGAGAGAGGAAGTCATAACTAAGTGGCTCTTTAATAAAGATATGAAGCTTATAAAATTGTTTTCTCCTAGAGCTGCTTTGATTCCACAGCTTTGCTTCTTACATGGAGAATCCAGAATTTAAGTTTGTTTGTGCTGATTGAAGCTACCTTTTAACTTCTCAAAGCAGTAATATATGATTGTAAAAGAATGAAAAAACATAAATTACCACTATTTATGTGGAAAACTGGGTTTTCTTTGAAATAGAAATTTGTGAGGAAGAATCTGTCTTCCCTTCCTTTCTCCCTCCTTGCACATTTATTGGATGCTATGTCTGTGCCTGAATTGCTGTGTAACAAACCTAGTGGCTTAACGTGGTAACAACTTATAATTTTTTTTTATTCTGTTGGTTGATAGTCTGAGCATTTCTTCTGCTGGTCTCATTCACGCAGTGGTAGTCACAGTACCAGATTAGGGCTTGAGTATTCAAGTTATCCTCACACACCTGTCTGGCCGTTGGTTCTGGCCGATGGCTGGAGTTCCTTGGTTCTCTTCTGCATGACCTCTCATTTTACAGTAGGTTAGATTGTTATTCTTCCCATAATGGTTGGCTTAGAGTCTCAAAAAGTCAAGAGTGGAAGTTGCAATGCCTCTGAAGCCCTAGGCCCAAGAAATCATACACTGACACTTCTGCCACATTGTATGAGTAAGTCACAAGGCCAGCCAGATTCAAAAGAATTGGAACTATTTCTTGGTAGGAAGGCCACTTTGCAAAAGTGTGTGGACATGAGAAACGGTTATTCATTTCTGGGCACTAGTATAATGATCTTTCACAAATGCCAGTGAGTTGGGCACTATGCTAAGTACTGGTGATGGAAGATGAATAGCTCATTTCAGTATCTTAATTTTGTTTTCTATATTTTGATAATTAGTGAAGCAACAGTATCAATCTCAGGGGAGGACTCTAAACATATTGCCCATAACATGTACCAATATCAATCCACTTACATAAGTCTGGTGAGACAGAACAATCACACAAGTTAAATGAAGCAACTTTATTACTCACAGGTTGGCAGCAAGGGACAGTAGAAACCTAGGATTCATGGCAAGCCATTCCTCCCCCAAGGCCCAGGATGGACGGAGTTTCATGTGCCTGTGCTCCATGTTGCCCCAGTTGAGGGAAACTGAAAGCATCCTTTGCCCTGGGTTTTATCCCGCAGGGGCACTTGACAATCTAGGCTAAAGTGTTTAAAGACATCCTGTTCTAGGAGTGACAGGAACAGAGCCCAGGCTGTTCCAGTCAGTTCCTCTTTATCTCAGAATGTTGCATTCCCAGTTCACTTTGTAGTTATTCTGGGAACTACAAGTGAGACAGCAGGGAAGAGCTGGGTTGCCAAAGCCACCTGGGGACTTGTCCTGTAATAACATCATATGAAATGTTTTTTCTCCTTGTGATTTATCATTCTCAACTTTAATTGTTCATTGTATAATTTTGAGTGAGTTATTGCTAATTAGTAGAAGTGGGAAAATCTTAGTATTCTTGAGTGTATTGGCAAAATAGAAGATAGATATTTGTGTAATCTACACAAAGATGTATAAAGTAAAATATAAAGTGTGGTTGTATTGGATATGTGTGTAATTTGTAAAGACAAGTTTAAGTCATTAATTTCATAAATATTTGAATTCCTTTGTGCCAGGCACTGTTCATATAACAGTGAATAAGATAGAAACATTCCTTGTTCTCAGAGAACTTCCATTTTAGTGGCAGGAGATGCAAAACAAATAAATACATTTATGTTAGGTGATGATAAAAGCATTTCAAGAAAAACCAAATGTGAAAGAAAAGAGGATCAAGAGTAAGGGGCTAGAGTATGCACACAAAACATTTTATATAGTCTAATACTCTTATGCCAATAATTCTCAATCTTTTTCCCAACTGAGTTTGCCAGAAGGATAGATGCATTACCATCAATAACAGTGGCACGTTAAGGCTGTTATTCTCTACTGGGTGGAGATGAGAAGCAAATCAGAAAACAAGTGGGAGTGGGAGATATAAGTATATGTTTGCCTTCTTTAAATTTCCCCCACGTGATTCTAATATGCCCCTAAAGGAGGTATGCCCATTTATTGAGAATCTGTCCCAAGTTATTACACTGTGAAATCATATTAACACTTTGGCATTTGTAGCATCAAATTATAGCATTTTATTTAATGAATGACATCTTATACATTCAAAATAGCTATAATGTAAATCTAGTCAACATGTAATTCTGATAAAAGTAGACTTATTTATGCTGCCTTTTGTACAGATACCTTTTTGTGGGGAAAAGAAATAGAAAAATGAAGAAATTTTTTTCTCTTCAGCAGATTTGACCTATGAACATTTTGGTTTGCCAATACAAACTTTTTAAACTACAATTCAAATTTTATATTAATACATTTTCAAATGGGAAAGTAAATATGAATTTAATAAGCATTTTTTTTATTACTAAGGAGCTAATAACTTTCCAGAACTGATAATGGAAATTGATTATGTGAAATTGCATTTCTTTCATAAACTGTAACAAGATATGTGGTTTTACAGCTTCGATTTGCTTAGCCACCAGCCAATTGTCTTTTGAGTGGATAGTCAAAGTCTATTTTTAAATTGAGTTGTATGAAATAAAAAAATCTAAAAAACTTTCAACTTTGTCAGATTACTATAGTAAATAACCTAGTTTCCATATGGTATCTTTCATTATAGCATATTCCTGAGAAATTAGCAAATTAAATTTTAGTATGGGCAGCAATCTTAAATACTTGTCTGCCTATCTGAAACTAATTATTACATAGTCTTATTTGGAAATAGAACATGTCAGGGAGTAGTCACTCTGCTCAAATACTTATTTTAAGGCTGGGGGAAAGTTTAGGGAGGAAAGTAGAGAATAAAAAGAGTAATACACAATGAAGGTTCTCCTTCCCTCTAATTTCTACCCCTTCCTCTATCATGTTTAGGATTGCAAAACTGCCCCTGTGCAAGCCTGAATTAAGCGAAGACATGTAGCATCTTCCAGGGATTTGCTGAGCACTAGGTTAAACTGGTTTCCTAACCATTGAAATAATATGCCAAATGATAATAATTGCAGCAGAACTGCTAAGAATTTCAGTCTGGAAATTGGAAAAAAAAAACCTTAGATATCTTCTAAAATATAGTGTACATCCATCTAGATTGCTTCTTTTTGAATAAAATGTGGTGACTTCTCTTGCTTGAGGGGGTAGTCTCTAAAAGTAAATTTTATATTTGCCTTTATAAAAAGAGGAAAATTAACTACCAAAATTCTGATCATAAATATTTCAGACAACTCAGTTTTATTCACCTGTAACCCCTCATTGTAAGAACAGATATCAGTTTGTAGTATTTGGTATAGTTTAATCATTGAGAGACTTGAAGAAAAATTTAATCATATTTCTAAGGCACTAAGTTTTTTTCCTTTGCCCCTCCTTTAGGCAACACTCTAGTTGTCCTACATCTAGACAACTAGCAAATGAATTGCCTTTGCTGATTTAGTAAATCTTGTGGAAGTCTCTAAAAGGAGTACAGTTTTGCTGAAACTTGACTGTATTAGACCCTTAGTTAACTCTTCGGAGACATGGGGAAGTTGTCATGGTATAACAGAAAAAGATCATATTTTTTCAAAAGTAATTTTTTACTTTTTAAAAAGTAATTAAAGCAGTAGAGTCATGACAAAGTTTTTAGAAAGTAAAGGAGTATTCATCAACCAAACTCTGGTTCCTTGGTAGACTATGCAGAGAGAGTATAAAAGTCCCCAAGTAATAATAATTTCACAGTGATTAAAAACCTTCGGGCTGGCCCGGTGGCGCACTGGAGAGTGTGCCGCTTGGGAAGTGCGGCGGCGCCTCTGCCAAGGGTTCGGATCCCATGTGGAGACCGGTTTCTGCTCACTGGCTGAGTGCGGTGTGGGCGCAACACCGAGGGTTGCGAACCCATTGCCAGTCCCCGTTACGGGCGCGACACCGAGGGTTGCGATCCTGTTACCAGTCAGTAAAAAAGACAAAAAGGAAAAAAAAAAACAAACAAACCTTCAATATTAGTAATTTACCTAATGTCTTAATACACTGAATTTAAAACAATATATTTGACTAAGTATTTTCTCTTTTTATAAAATACATGTGTTTGAACAGAAACCAAGCTCACGGAAAATGTACTTATCTGGCTATGGTGTAGAACTAGCAATTAAGAGTACAGAATACAAAGCATTGGATGATACCCAAGTTAAAAGTAAGTTTTCTATCTCTGTACTTAAGTAGAATGAAAAGTCATAGACTTACATACTTTTGTTTTTTAAAAATTTAATGAATATAATCCTACATGTGTTCATCTGAGGCTGGGGACAAGGGTGAACATGTTGTTTCTTAGTTTGGAATTTAAGCTGAAAGAAATGTTTTTAATATTATTGTGTTCTCAAAAATTCTTTAAAAGTAGGAAATAGTATATTATTTTGCTTATACCAAATGGCTTCCTAGCCATTTTCAGCAACACATAACAAACAATAATACTGTATGTAAAGTACACTGAGGCAATAGATGAGGCTGCTTATAGGTAGAAGTGACTGACCCAGGAATTCAGAATGGCCCATGTCCTGCCCAGATGCTGTGGGGGTCCTGAAGGGATCATTACCTCCATAAACCTGTAGCTCATTGGTGACACACTAGCTTAGGAAGCTTTGTCTGTATTTATTTATATTGAAGTTTTTATTTATAATAAAGTTATGATGATGGATTTTTTTTTTTTTAAGCAGGATGGGAGAATGCTGTGAATTGTTTAGGTGAGGTTGGTTCATCAGAATTGTGATCTGCAGGGCCGGCCCGGTGGCGCACTGGAGAGTGCACCGCTTGGGAGCGCAGTGGCGCTCCTGCCGAGGGTTCAGATCCCATGTGGAGACTGGTTCCCACTCACTGGCTGAGCGCGGTGCGGGCGCAACACCGAGGGTTGCAATCCCGTTACCGGGCAGTAAAAAAAGACAAAAAGGAAAAAAAAAATAATAATAATTGTGATCTGCAAACCAGTATCTGTCTATAGTTGTTCTTTGAACTAATGCATGCTCTAGATTAAGAGACTCTTGAGGCCTAAGTAAACTAAACAAGGTCTCAGAACTGTTACGGACATCTTTTGTTACCTTGTTCAGCTGAATTCATTTATGCCTGATTTTTGGTCAAGAGTTTTTAATTTATTCATTTATATGCACTCAGATGTGGCTCTACTTCAGCTTTGTTTTTCTGTTCAGGATCTTGTCATGGAAGCCCTGCCTTGATCAAAGATGTAGTTCTGGCTGCTCCTACTGAATTGCTTCAGATAAAGATCTGAATTAATGTATTTTAAATATGTTTGGGTAAAGAGTTACTGAAAAAAGTATAGTAAAATAATATACAGATTTTATATATATCTGTATAGCTTATATATAGCTCTATAATGCTTTTATAATTTAGCATCTTATAGTCATGATAGTATTTAAGGCATTTTCTACCTATTCTCGGGCTTGTAGAATATTCTTAAAAGTCAGGTGATCACATATGAGAGGTCTTCAAAAACTTCATGGAAAGACTTGTATTATCTTTTTTTTTTTTTTTTTTGTCTTTTTCTGTGTCCGGCAACGGATCGCAACCCTCAGTGTCACCCCCGTACCGGACCGGGACCGGCAACGGGATCGCAGCCCTCGGTGTTGCTCCTGCGCCTCACTCAGCCAGTGAGCGGGAACTGGTCTGTATGTGGGATCCGAACCCTCGGCGGGAGCGGCGCCGCACTTCCCAAGCGGTGCACTATAGCAGTGCGCCACTGGGCCGGCCCAAGACTTGTATTATCTTTTAATTCCATTTTGCTACCAGCTTTCTGAAGTACTTTTGTATGATCTATATTATTATGCACCAAATTCTTTTGTCAGCCTGTTATACATATTTGGAATATGTCTTCTCCCCATTCAAAGTTCCACTCCTTTAGTTCAGTTCTTTTTCTCTCTGCATGTGTGTATTGGGCTTTTAACTTGCTACTTCTCTGATCTTTGGTCTGCAATGCTCTCAGTCTTCCCCGCCCCCAAAATAGGTTATTCAAACTACTTTACACAGTTCCTTCAAAATGAACTTCTTGTGGGCCGGCCCGGTGGCGCACTGCGCTAGTGCGCCGCTTGGGAAGCGCGGTGGCGCTCCAGCCGAGGGTTCGGATCCCACATACAGACCGGTTCCCGCTCACTGGCTGAGCGAGGCGCGGGAGCAACACCGAGGGTTGCGATCCCGTTGCCGGTCCTGGTCCGGTATGGGGGCAACACTGAGGGTTGCGATCCGTTGCCGGACACAGAAAAAGACAAAAAAAAAAAAAGAACTTCTTGTGATGAAAATCTGACTTTGTGACTCCACTGGTTAAAATCTTCTATTGGCTACCTATAGCTTCCCTCCTAAATTCAGGTACTATAGTATAGCAAATAAAGCTTTTCACTATCTGATTTCTTTCTGCCTTTTCACTCTGCTTCAGCCCCCTCTCATTTGTACCTTCTGGTCTTGCAACACTAAGGTACTATACAGAATAATTTTCTGTTCCCTGCCTGCCTCTGTGCAAAGCCTTTATAACCTCTAGTAGTTCATTCCTTAGCATATGCTGTTCCTTCCGCCTACAACCCTTTCTCCTTCTTCCATCTCTTTCATTTCATCTAAAGCCTACTCAACTTTAATACTCATACTGGTATATATCACTTAGTGCCTCGCAGATGGCTGCCTATCTTCCTGTTGTGTCAGAGGATGGTTTTCCCTTTTCTGTATCCCTTTCTTTTTTTTTTTTTTCCTTTTTGTCTTTTTTCGTGACCGGTAATAGGATCACAACCCTCGGTGTCGCACCCGTACCGCGACCGGCAACGGGATCACAACCCTCGGTGTCGCGCCCGTACCACGACCGGCAACGGGATCGCAACCCTCGGTGTCGCGCCTGCACCGCACTCAACCAGTGAGCAGACCGGTCTCTATATGGGATCCGACCCCTCGGCGGGAGCGCCGCCACACTCCCAAGTGCTGCACTCTACCGAGTGCGCCACCGGGCCTGCCCTTCTGTATCCCTTTCTTTTTTTTTTTTTTTCTTTTTTGTCTTTTTTCGTGACCGGTAATGGGATCACAACCCTCGGTGTTGCACCCGTACCGCGACCGGCAACGGGATCACAACCCTCGGTGTT